CAGCCAACAGGAAGCAAATTCAGGTCTGATTCAAGCCCAGGTACACTGCCCGCTAAGCAGTAAGAGCCAGCACTGTCACTTCTTGAAAAATATGGTTAGTTGGGATATTAGTTGTGTGGATGCAGAATAACTGAGCAATGAAAGAGGATCCAAGAGACCCTGATAAAGGCTCAGGGACAAGTAGTGGGCCCCCTGGAGGCCTCAGCTTGGGGGAATTCAGCTTAGAAGACACTTGGACAGAGGGCAATCTCTCCAGCCCAGAGTCAACCCTGACTCCCTTCTCCTCCAGGCAGGTGCAGCCCAGAGGAGCTCCTGCTGAGTCCCCCCAACACCTTCCACATTAGCACCAGGGAAGGGGCCCTTCTGTTGTCATGTGGGACTCCTCCTGGGCAGCCTCGGGCTCCCCAGTGCTCCCCAATGCCAGTGTGTTCCTGATGTCTCTTGTTCTGAGAAAGTCTGGGGAGACCCAGAGAAGTGGGGTAGGGCTGTTATGAGGACAAAGACGGGTAAGGCCTATTGTTTCAAATAACATGAGACCATTACTGTCTTGTTTTGGTTGTTGTTACTCAGAGAATCATACAGTGTTCAGGAGCACAGACTCTAGTGCCAGAGCTGCCTGGATGTGTACATCAGCTCTGCCCTCCGCAGCTGTGCGACTTTGAGCAAGGTGCTTAACCTCTCTGTGCCACAGTATTGCCATCTGTGAGTGGGGATAATAATAGCCATCGTAGAGCAATTTGGGATACATGAACTAAATTAGCATATGCAAAGCAAGGTTGGGACAAAATAAATGCTTACTATAAGTATTTTTATTAATAGAGGTAATCAAGGGAAGTGACCTTGGAGAGAAGGGTCCATAGAGCAGTGGAAGGAATTTTTTTAAGACAATAACAGGAGGCAGCTAGAGCTCACTAAATAAATATCGCCTGCCTGCATAGGATTGTGAGGACACAGACTTGTTTAGGGAGGGACGCTGTGGGATGTTTATTTTATTTCTTAATCATTTGTTTTTGTGTGGGTGTGTGGCAGAGGCAAGAGCACTGGGCTTGAAGTTCACACACACCTGGGTATAGAAGCCATAATCTGATGGCCCTGGGCAAGCAACTTCCTGTCTGAGCCTCAGTTTCCCCATCTGTGAAATGGGGATGTGGGTAGCACAAACCTCTTGGGGGCTGTTCAGATGATCAAGAAAATTCTGCTCAGAAAGCGTTTAGCTTGGGCCTCCCTGGTGGCGCAAGAGGTTAAGTACCACACTATGAAGCAATCCACAGCCTCTGCAGCACGAGTTCAATCCCCTGCCAGTCAGGGAGCAACCCACATGGCAGAGCAGACCTCTCCTGTCTCGCCCGCTGCTCCCCTCAGCAGTGTATTTCAGTCTGCCTTTTCTGTTCCCCACTCTGTTTCTGGTGAGTCCTCTCACCCCCTGCATCTCTGGCCTGTACCCCAGCTCTTGTATGCATAAATAAATAACTTAAAAAAAAAAAAAAAGAAAGTGTTTAGCCTGGTGCATAGTCTAAGGCTGTAACTGTGTGGAGTCGGCCTCTGTGAGCCAGGCACCAACTGGGGGACTTCAGGGTGCTGCTGAATCTGGCCCCGGGGCCCCAGTTTTTGGAATACCACCCTCCCCCTGGGTTGTTTGAGGAGTAATCATGGCATTCCCTGTGGGAAATTTCTAAGAGGATGGCAGCCAGAGACCCCTTGTTCTGGGACCCGGCAACCCATCGCCACTTCCCTGCACCCCAGTATCTCCTAAGCAGAACAGTCAGCGGCGTTTTCCCTGGCCTCTCCCGGCCTGTGTGTATTTTCGCCTGCTGATGACAGCCCAGCCTTGAGGTTATTGACCACTTTCCACGTGTTTGCTGACTCCTCTCCAGCTGGCTGGGCCAGCAGGAATGAGCAGCTGCCTCTCCCCTCAGCTTCCCAGAACAGAAGGCTGTCCTCACACAGAGAGGCAGCGGAAACCCAAGGGGTCAACAGGACAGCAGGCACGTGGAGGATCAGCGGGCAGCACAGTCTCGTTCGGGGAGGGCTGCAGTGGCTCCTGAGTCCCATTGGGCTCGGGTTCGAGTCCTCAGCCAGCTGTGTGGCCCAAGGTAGGTGGCCCCATCTCTCTGAACCATGAGGATGAGATGAGGTTAGACAAAAGTGTTGAGAACAGAGCCTGGCACATGGGTTCAGTTGTCGTGACCCACGTCTGTGATCTAAAGAGGCGAAGTAGCAGAGGGATCAGAGGCCAAACTGCTAGGTTCCTATCGCAGTTCTTCCGCTCAACCAGGTCTGTAGACATGAGCAAGACACGGCATCACTCTGTGCCTCAGTTTCTTCATCTCTAAAATAGGGATAAAAATAATCTTTTCCTTGTAGGGCTGTAGGGTGGATTAGTTGAACTAAATACATGTTTAGAATAGAACCCAGCTCATGGAAAATTCCAGATTAATGCTAATAATGGCTGTTTCTGCTTTCTAGCAGGATACCCTCTCTTCCCTCGCTGGGCCCTGAATGTAGGCATCCTAGGGACGAGAGGTGGGTGAGGCTCAGAGGATCACAATGAGCAGCCCTCTGGATTCTTCTCCAACTGGTCGAGCAATCAAAACATCATCAGGGCCTCCCTGGCGGAGCAGGGGTTAAAGACAAGGCTATCAAGCTATCGCCAGCCACTGCAGCACAAGCTCAATCCCAGGCCGGTTCTGCTCCCCACTCTGTCTCTCGTGAATCCTCTCAGCCTCCCCCACCTCTGGCCTGTACCCCAGTTCTTGTATGCATAAATAAATAAATCTTTAAAAAAAAATAGTATTAGATGAGTTGGCACAAGGAAAAAGAACAATTCAATAATGTGCACGCAGAGGATGAAGGTCAATATGTGGGTCCCCATCTCAGGGGTGGAGAGGAATGGGGTAGGGCCCAGGCACACCGAAGAGAAAAGGGGGGGGCATCATAGGATAAGGAGTGATGGCTGCACCATACTTTGAAAGTCAAGATGGGTTTCTCAGATAGAACTTTTTTGCAGGATAATCCTGCACCAGGATAATGCTCACAGTCTTCATTCTTCTAGGCAGTAAAGGGGGGGCTGCAATTACTTCCTCTTTTAGGGAGAAAGCAAGAGCTGCTCCTTAGCCTCCAGGGCCCCAGTTGATCTCAACTTGAATTAACTACATGGCAAAGTGGGGCATCCTAGGGAGTCCAGCTCTTGGGGTGATCTCTTCTGAGCACCTTCAGGTCACTGAGGTTATGCTCCCCACTATCCCTTCTTTTCTGGACCCTGTGCCCAGCTGAGCCTTGTTTTAGGCTGAAGGGAGGCCTGGGAGGAAGGAAAAGGATCTTCCAGAACAAACCATTCAGCAGCCTCGCCCATAAATAAACAGCTCCATCTGCACATAAACACCTACTCAAATCCTCACACAAGCTTACTGGGGACCAAGCCACCCCCAGTCCATCGTACCTACTCAGAAACCTCACCCCTACCACCCCAGCCCAGGACCAGCTTTCTCCCCGTACTGATTCCAACCCCGGCCAACCTCACCCCAGCTATAATTACAGAGAGTTGAGGCTTCTGTGTCCAGCGTGACGTCAGCCTGAAGCTTCTAGCCTGATGAGCTCACTCTGAGTCAAGTGGAGGCCCAGTCACTCAGAATGTGGGCCACGGGTTGGGGATCTCCTCCTCTGGAAGGTGGTGGGGTCTCTAGGTCAGCTCTGCATGGATCTGAGATTCAGAACAACATGGGCCTGCACCTAGGTCCTGCCTTCCCATGTTTGGGTACAGGGGCCGCAGAGGCTCCCGGTATCTGTTTCCCCACCTGCAAAGTGGGGGTGGTGAGCACACCCGGTGCTGCTGTGGGGATTAATGTGACAATGTCTGCCATGTGCTCACCTCCCTGGCAGGTACACAGGAGCCAGGAAATGTGGGTGTCAGTTGTTGTTACTGTTCTCCATATCAGTATTTTTAGCAAACTGCCTCATGCAGGCAATGCTTCACATCAAACCAATGACTCACTGAATTCCTTAACCCCCCAACCCTCCCCACCCCGCAGAGAGGGCCAACTCAGACCCTGAAGCCACAGAGAATGCCCTCCCCCAATTGCCCACCTGTTGGGAATCGATCAAAGATTGGAACCGAAGCTCCAGAGGCTTTAGCTCAAAGGTGATTTAGAAATTCTTTCTCCAACTTGCCTGGGGGCTGGAAAGTGGGGAGAGGCAAGTCTAGAAACAGGTCCTTTCTGAACTTCAAAATTCAGACCGGACACCCGGCCCTGGCACAGCACCCTTTGATAATTGTCATCCTTAGCAATATCATTGTAACAGAGGCTGTCATTGCTTCACCTGTCCCAGGCAGTTTCCTCCTCTGTAAAATGGGGATAAATCTGTAAAATCGTTGTGCTCTTACATCACAGGAACTTGCTGATGACGGAGCAATTTTATGAAGCACGTAGAACAGGACTTCAGCAAGCTTTAAGAGCTTTTAGTAACTGAGAACGTGCCACTGAAAATATAAAGGTCCCGGCCTGCTAGATGCTTCAGGCGGGTTCTCCGTGGCTCCCTCCTGAGACATCATAAGGAGGCTCCTCTACTGTCCATTTCACAGGTGAGAAAACTGACAGCTCAGAGGTGTCTGGGAATACATTAAGGCTCTCAGCCGGCTGGTGGTGGGGGGGGGTGGGCAAGCTGTGAACATTTGAATAACGCAGCCCAGCCGGGCCCTAAGGTCCTAAATGAGGATGGCAACCCAGGGCCTTGGGTCCCTTTCCGCCAGCCCTTCTGCAGGTCCCCACGGGGGTGGGGTGGGGTGCGGCTGGCTCCCAGATGGTATTTACGGAGTGTGACTTGAGCCCTCAGCCAGGGGGAGGGTTATTAATAGTTGGGTCCTAGTGCCCAGCTCACAGAGGGCCCTGGGAGGGGAGGGAAGGAACAGGAGGGAAAGGGCGGAGCCTGGCCTAGCTGGGGGAGGAGAGTCCAGAGAGGCTGGCTGAACTGGCATGCAAAGGCCCCTCCCAGGCCCCTGGGAGCCCAGTTGTTCTCCAAGCGGATTCTCAGGGGCTGGTTCATCACCTCCGAATACTCTTGTGACAGGAGGCGCTTGCAAAACCCGCCTCCCGCCCCTAGCAGCAATAAATAGAAGGCTCCAGCCCAGGAGAAGCCAGGAGAAGTTTCTAGGCCTGCGTCCCAGGGTTTATTAAGCTCCTGGCTCCTCTCTAAACCACAGCAGGCTCTGGCTGAGAGCCTGGGTGCCTGGGAGGACGGAGGCCGGCTGATCTCTGGTGAGGCAGTGCAGAGAGGCCCTCGGGGATTCTGCTGGACCAGCCGGGGCCTGGAGTGTCTTTGGAGGCTGGGACCCCAGCCTGCTGTGTGCCTCTGTCCTTGGCGGTGGATGGTTCACATTTCCTGGGGCTGAAGACGCTGTGAAGGCCAGCCTATCCACCTCACCTTGCTGTGTGACCTTGGGCAAGTGGGCCCCTCTCTCTGAGCCCTTCCAGCTCAGCAGCCACCATGGCTGACGGTCAGATGCCCTTCCCTTGCCACTACCCCAGCCGTCTGCGCAGAGACCCCTTCCGAGACTCGCCCCTCTCCTCCCGCCTGCTGGACGATGGCTTTGGCATGGACCCCTTCCCTGACGACTTGACTGCCTCGTGGCCTGACTGGGCCCTGCCTCGACTCTCCTCCGCCTGGCCGGGAACCCTGAGGTCAGGCATGGTGCCCCGGGGGCCGACCGCCTCAGCCAGGTTTGGGGTACCTGCCGAAGGCAGGAGCCCCCCGCCTTTCCCCGGGGAGCCCTGGAAAGTGTGTGTCAACGTGCACAGCTTCAAACCAGAGGAGCTGATGGTGAAGACCAAGGACGGATATGTGGAGGTGTCTGGTGAGTGGGGGTCAGGGGAGCAGAGAACCCAGGCAGGGGCTCAGTCCCTGAGAATAGGCAGGAGAGCATTTCCTTAGAGGGGAAGAGTGACAGGATGACACAGGTGACTTCAGGGCTCAGGAATGCAGCCCACAAAAGTTGTCTTTGCTCTCCTCTCCCCGGGGCTGCAGGGGAAATCTTAACCTGACCCAGCAACTGGAAGCTTTGGGTGTTGGATCCATCAGAACAGACAGAAAAATAGTGCATTGGATATCTTGATGAAGAGAATTTAGTGTAAAGAATAAGCTGAACTGGTAGAGTAGAAATCAAAAGACCAAGAAGAAATGGGTTTTGTAGTCCTCCGGCATCACAGAACAATCTAGAAGGGCGAGTTTTCTGCTGGGCCATGACAGTGTTAGTAACCAGCAGGGGGTGGAGTAAAATGCCTCCCCTTATCCCAGTAAGGAGAGTGAGGTCTGGAGGGGTGCAGGGGAAATTCCCCTTCCTCTCTGGGTTCTTCTTGTGTTAGGGGGAAAAGGATGTCCTAAGCTAATTCCATACAGGCTTTGATCAAAACAGTCTCAGACAGGTTGGCAGAAGGAGAGAGAACAATCTAACAAGGTGCGCACAGCGTGTCTACACTGATTCTGTGGATCCAGACTTGCCTGGCTCACCAGGGGTCCTTCTCATGAGACTGAGCTGTAACCTCGATGAGCACCTACTATCTGCTAAGCGCCAGGTTGAGCCTTTTATTTGTAGCATCTCGCTTAGGTTAACATAACCCAAGGAGGTGGGTCCTGGTTGGAGGGATCCTCAGGAAACTGAGGCACAGAGAGGATAAAGGAACTTGTCCAAGGCCCCCAGTGATTCAGAAACCAGGCAGGCCTGTCTGGGAACGGGGAGGGCAGAAGCAAATGTGGTGGCCACCTACCAGGGGCCAAGGACTGGGCTAAAACGCTTGTTTCCCTTCTCCCAAATAATCCTGACTCCTGCCCCTGAGAAGCAGAAACTTCTGGCCCCATTTTGCAGTCAAGGAAACTGAGGCCAAGAGGAGTAACTCTTCCCAGGTCACACCATGAGTCAGCACAGAGAGAGTCGGGGCCTGTCCCTGGACGCCAGGCCCCGCCAGGTCCCAGCCTCAGGCCCCCACATCCCAGCCCAGGAGAGAGAATTTATAGAGTCTGGGAAAAAGGAAGAGGGGACTCAGAGGCTCAGCCCTTGGTAAGCTGCACTGCAGAGGAAAAGCTTTCTCTGGCTTCCCTCCCAATTAACGCTCCATTATAAAGAGCAGGTTCCGGGCAGGCTGCAGGCCAGAAAATCAATAAAAGCCTTTGCAAACACAGGCTGGGCAGGGACAAGCCCTGGCAAGGCATGGAGCAGGGGGAGCTTCAAAGCACCACCAAATTATAAACATCAGAGGATCCAGAGGGTGTGGTGGGCCAGGAGACGCACTGGGGCCACGCGGGGAGGGAGGGGATCAGCCAGGGCTCTGTGGGCTGTCTGGGGAATACGCAGGAACTCTGGAACTGTCTAGCCAGCACAACATGCAAATGACCAGACTCGGTGCTTGGTCTTATTTTCTGGAAATTGGGGTTCCAGCAACTCTCCTGCATTAGGATTGCTCTGTTAAGTGAGGGGATGTGCGAACATGGTGCCGGGAACATGAGGGGTTAGCTTTGCTGTTGTTGATGAGTTATAAGATGCCAGACACAGCGTGAGGCCCCAATAAATTGGACATGGTCAATGCTCTTTGAGACCTGGGTTCAAATACCAGCTCTGCTATTTGCTCTCTGGATGGATATAGAAAAGAAAGTCATTTTACATCCCCCAGCCTTAGTTTCCTCATCTGCAGAATGGGGTCATAATCACATCTATCCCTCTAGGCTCTTGGAAAGATGAACTCTATGCAGACAACATGTATTTGCAGTGACTGGAGCTCTATTAACGGGGTGACAATTATTACCTCTCCTCAGGTTTTTGTCCCGTCTTCCACGCAGGCCAGAGGTCCTCTCAGACCCTGTGCCCCCTCCAGGAACCTCTGTCCAGCCTGGAGGGCTTTCTCTCCATCCATTCTAGATACTTCTTAACCAGCAGGGTCTGGCAGCTCCAGACTGAGATCCCACCTAAGTACCCAACTCACCCAGAGGCTTTGAGTGAGTCCTGGAGCCTCAGTTTCCAGAGCTATGAAAGGGATATATGGGGCCTTAAATAAGACAAAGCCTTTTGAGGTGGTAAAATGCCTCACAGCTAAACACTTAGCAAACTCAGTTCGCCAGGATCCAAACCCCCTGAGCACATGTAGACTCTTATGAAAGGAGCTCTGAAACATCAGACCAGCATGAGGGGCTCCATGTAACAAACAGCAACTCTGTAGGGAAGTCAGTGCTCAGCTCCAACATTACATAATGACAAGCCTTTTCTGCCCCAAGCACTTGGTGCTGGGCTTGGTGCTGGATGCCATATATGCTGGCTCCAGTTTCCTCCAGGGAAACACCAGTAGGATTTTATGCCCATTTGACAGATGAGGAAACTGAGGCGCAGAGAAAATAACCCACTTGAGATCCACTGCAGTGTCTGAAGCGCAAAGCCAGCCCTGCTAAATTGGTTCCGAGTCAGGATGGCTGGACGTGCTTCTGAGTGTACGGCCTGACAAATCCAACCACCACTTAGGCCTCACAGCGTTAAAACTGGAAGGAGGAGGTGAACTCCTCCTATGAACCTATTAACTAGATACTAGGCATCTCCTCAAGGCAGAACTCTCCTGGGCTTTGCTAATGGAGCTTATGAATCTAAGAGGCACCCCTGTCTGACCACATAAGAGTGTCCAGTTCCAGGGAAGCGATTGGAAAATTCTGGACTAGATGATTTCCAACCTGCCTTATACTCCCCAGCCCACCCCGGCAGCCACCAGCCAAGAAATGTTCCCTTCATAGGCCACCGGGCCAGGCCTGACCAAGGAAGGAACTGGAAAGTCTGGGGCCTTTATTCCCACCCCTTCTTCTTAATCTCACAGCCTCTGCCTCCCCTGGAAACAGGGCTTCTTCCTTGAGTCAGGCCCATGGTTCTCCCTGAGGTGGATGCTTCTTGGTGTCTATTCTCTTTCCCTGAGGCCTTCAGAGAAAATGGTGGCTGTGAGAGCCCCTGGCTTCCCCTGGCCTCCAGATCATCTTTTTTTTTTTTGGAAAAAAAAAACACAAAACCCTTTATAATTACTTTTTCTGTTTACAAAAATAAAATATTTCCATGGTAGAAAATGTAAATAGGAAAGCAACGTAAGAAATTAAAAATAACTCATAATCCTTAAGCTGCCACAATAAACAGGAATTCGAATGATATGCAGATTAACTTCCAAAATGAGTCTCCTGGCAGCACCCTCTTCAACCAGGCCCCCCCTTTATGGACTCTTGGAGCTGCCCCCACTGGGGATCGGCCCACCCTAACCGCAATGTCCTATTTTCGGACCGTGGACAAGGAGGTCTGGCTTCTGGGTAGCCGTCCTTTTCTCGAACATCAAAATAAACCACCAGCATTAACCCTTACACGGTATTTTTACAACTTACAAAACAATTCTGTGACTCATTCACATTTGTTCCTGATGGTAACCTGATGATCAGGAAGATGCTGTCACCCCCCGATTTAGAGAAAAATAAGCTGAGTTTCAGAGAATTATAGAAATACCCAGGAAAGGTCAGAGCAGGGTTCTAGTCCAGATCCTGCCTACCTGCTTTTGAGTCTGGGCTCCATCACCTCCGAGTTGGGTGACCTTGGCCATACACTTCACCTCTCTCAACTTCCACGTCCCTATCACAAAATGGCAATAACAAAAGCGTCTGCTTTGCAAGGTTGTCGTGAAAACTAGAGGAACTGAAACAAGTAATGTGCCTAGAACACTGACCGACACCAAGTAAGCACTAGACAAGAGTTTGCTATTACTATTCTCATCACCGTTACCGCTACTGTTTATGATTTGGGGAGCAATTCCATGTGTGATTATTCTGTGTGTGTAAAAGGGCTGAGTCAGAGGCACTGGCCTGTCCCCAGGGACAGCAGGCCTCTGGAGGCCCAGGCCTGGGGAGGGCAAGCAGGGGACAGCGCCCCTCTGGCTGTGGGCCTGTGTTACAGCTGAGCCGTGGGTGGTCATGGACTTGGCATGTCAGCATCAAGTCCCAGAGCAGCGATACATCCACATACGTGCATGGGCTGGTTAGCCAGACACTCCCATTTAAAACCAAGTTCCTATAAATGTACCCCTTTCTGCCCAGCTGGTGGGAGAATAAATTGGTGCAGCCTTTCCTAAGAGCAATTGAGTGCTATTGATTAAGCTTAGAAATTCTAGTACTTGGAGTTTATCCTGAAGAAGTCACCAGACCAGTATGAAGATCTAGCTAGAGCTCAGTGCAGGGAGGGTCTTTCCAATAATAACAACCTCGGCGCACAAAAGTCAGGCACTGATTAAATAAAGTGATATCCCAGCTGTGGCCATTGAAAATCGTGCCTTCAAAGAATATTTGCTGTAATGCGGAACAATAATCACGATGTGTGAGCTAGAGATAAATCCAGGTTCCAAGCAGAGTGGTACAGTACAATCCCATTTGATAAATCTGCTCTCTATCACATGCGTTTTGAAATGACATAGAAAGAAAAGCTTGGAACGTGTACCAAAATGTTATTAGTGGTTTCCTCAGTGGGATGGACTATGGGCATTTTCATTATTTTTTATTTTCTATCTTTTCTCATATAGCCTTGTATTATCAGAAAATTATCAATAAAGGAATAATGAACAATTTCTTTTAAGTAATTGATAATGGAATCCTCTGTAAGTTGTCAGTTTAAAAAGATCTGGACTACAAAAAAAATCCCTCAAGGTGATTTAAGCTGGGCTTCCAAACACCCTCAGCAAGTCCTCTCTGTGTAAAGGAGGGTCCTTGGCTCTGAAATGTGACCACAAATGAGGTGTGAGCAGTGAGAGGAGCGGAGCTCTCCTCTGGGCACTGATACTGTTTGTTTAAAGAGAAGTAAAGAGTCTATTAAAGAAGAAAAGAGGGGGGCAGAGCTAGGGGGTTCAGACTTTGTTGTTGAAATTGCAAGATAAAAGCCAGTTTGGGACCTGACCTTCTTGTAATTTCATCTTTCTCCTTCCTAAGGAAAACAAAAGGCCCTTGGCTGTACCCTCTGGGGTGGAACGGATGGAATTTTTCCCCCTTGGGGACTAATGCGTCATTTCTTGGGAGAGCCTCTTTGCAGGGTGTTTTTTAAGCAGGTTGAGTTCCAGGTGGTTCTTTCAGCAGCAGATACAGGTCAGGTGGTGCAAAGAGCTGGTCCGGAGCAGAGAGAGGGGCATCAGCCCCGCCCCCCCCCGTACTTGACTTAAATTCAGAAAGCTGCTTCAGAGTCCAGAGCTGCCACACTCCTGCTGGGTGACCATGGACCTACCCCTGGGCCTCAGTTTCCGTATTGGTGATCAAAAGAGAAAGAAGCGCATCCTCAGAACTAGGGAAGGCCTCTGCCAGCTGGGGGTGGGGGTAGGGGCAAACTAAGCCTCAGTGTGTGACCCCAGTTCTTTCCTTCCATGCTAGTGGGATGTGAGTCTCAGGCTGCCACTGGCTGGAGTGAGGTCAGATGCAAGATTTAGGGTACAGTGCACGGTATGGCCCACATTCCGTGATCTCCTAAGATTCATGCATTGTTGTTTGAGAGCCAGGACAGGGCCTCCTATCCTGTCCAGGATTTCATTTCAACTTCACAACAGCCGGGGAGGTGGGCTCAGGTGGGTCTATTCTGTAGATGAGAGACCTCAGGTTCAGAGACCTCTAGACTAGAACTGCCAGGCACATCCTATGTGGGGCAGGGCAGGATTGGAACCCCGTCCCAGTCCTGACCTCCATGCTGACCGGCCCTGTTCCTCTCCCTTCCAGGCAAACATGAAGAGAAGCAGCACGAAGGCGGCATCGTTTCCAAGAACTTCACAAAGAAAATCCAGTAAGTCACCTGGGCTGTGTGTTTTAGGGTGGGGTAGAGGAAGAGAGGGGTGCCTGGGACTCAAGATCTGGGGTCCTTCCCTCTTGGGCATCTCTCCTGTGAGGCTCTGCCCAGGGGTAGGGGATTCAGCACCACCCTTGAAGCCCACAATGGGCGTGATCCCAGGAAGGGGGGTGCATGTGGTGCCTTCTCATCTTCCCAGTGCCCGTAAGATGGAGTCACAGTCAGATGAAGCTGAGAATCAGAGGCAAAATGACTCACAATTTCCCGGATACGGGGCATTCGTGTGCCCTCTTGGTGTGGCTGAGGGAGAATCCCCATCCCCGTCAACAAAGACCCTCTCCTATGCACCCCCAATGTCCCCACTCAAATTCTCCCAAGGTGGGAGAATGTGCATCCTCCTGAGAGCACCTACAAATTAAACCAGGTGTCCTGACATCCTTGCTTACCGGCACAGGGGACTGCACACAGTAGGTCCTCAGAAGTAGCGGTTCGTTATTACTGTTATTGTTGCTATGGATGTCAGCTCCACCCCTGGAGTGACATGGATGTCCTGTGTCTGGAGAGATAGTGTCAGCTGAATTCTGGGGTTTCTTCCAGCTTTGGGGTTCTGGAGCCCTTTGGGGTTCTGTCCTCCCCATATGCCTATTCCTTATGGCCTGGTGCCTCAGGAATAGGCAAAAGTCAAACTCTTTCTCCACTTTCCCCTCTCACGTGCTGCTGTCCCCCACATCTCCACCTCTCCCTGGTACAGCAGCCAGTTTAAGGTTGCCAAGCTGGAGAAAAATGGAGGAGGGAGCTGACATAAGACTTTTAAGAGACTCAAATAAGGTCTCAGGATGAAGTCACAGGCAGGACAAAGTTGTGAGTGGAGCTGAGCCAGAAAGAAGTGGGTGAATTAACCATGTTTTAAGAGCTGTCCATTTTGTGGATTTCCCCATCTCTCAGGCCTCTGGAAAGATAGCTTGCTTGACCAGTTTCCTTGACCAGATAGAAACACCTCAAGCTGGGCCTTCCCTGGTGGTGCAGGCAGTTGAGCGCCGTGCTGTAAAGCTGCAGTGCCAGTTCAATCCCAGCTGGCAAGGGTCCCACATGGGGCGGCAGACCTCTCCTATCTCACCCACTGCTCCCCTCAGCAATGTCAGCCTGCCTGTACTGTTTCCCGCTCTGCCTCTGGTGAATCTCTCACCCTCCCGCGCATCTGGCCTGTACCCCAGTTCTTGTATAAATAAATAAATCTTCAAAAAAAAAAAAAAAAAGGCCTCAAGCTGCTCCCAGGTGGGGCTGCTCTCCAGCAGCTGAGCCAGGCTAGTTGTTGCAAATGAGCCTAGTTGATGCCCTTACACCCCAAGTGCCGCCCTAACCATCCTGCCATCCCACCCTGTCCTGGGCCCCTCCAGGCCCCCCATCATTCCAAAAACCAAAGGGTCTCTGGGACCCTCCTCCATACATTCTGGTTGGTCAGTGTTCAATGTTACAACTAGAATTATGAGACCTGTTAAGTGATTTTGAATTATTGTTGTTAAGTGATTTGAATTCTGCAAACCCCCCACCTGCTCCATGACAAAACGTGGATGACTTGGAGCCACTTGCTGAACTGCTCACCTTTGCTGTTCATGCGTCTGCTCTGGAGGGGCTGATGTGGGGCATGAGAGGATGCCTGCAAAGCTGTTAGCACGGGTACAAACTCAGTGCTCAGCCCATGGAAACGAATATTTTACAACCTCAGCAAGACTAGAATCACTCCAGAGCAGCCCTGTCTTCTGGGACCCCCTGGCTTTGGCCAGACTCCAGAGGCCAAGGAGAGGGACTGGAAGCTGGCATGGCCCTGAGCTGATGCCAGGAGCCTGCGTTGCCTCCCCCAGGAAACACTGTGGCCATGAGAGGACAGGGAGGCTGGGATCCTAGGAGATTTCCAGGCCGGCAGTCGGGATGCTGTAGCTGTGTGCCTCACCGCCTGGGAAACACATCCCAGCCCATCCATGTCTGTGTGAAAGGCCCGTTTGGACCGGATGAGCAGGAGAGGGAGGGCGCTTGGAATTTTCCAACAGATTGGGGGGCAGGGAAAAGACTGTGCAGGGGGTCCTGCTGAGAGGCCAGGAAGTAGGAGACACAGAAAGTTATCATGGGGGATTCCCAGAGCCCAAGTAAACTTCACTGTCTTGGTTGCATTTCTTCTCACTTATGTGTTCAGCCTCTTGTGGGCCAGTACAGTGTGCCAGGTGCCCGAGGAGGCTTATGGGCTTATTTCATTCTTGAAAGCATTCTATAGAGTGAGTGTTGTTAAGACCACCTCGTAGATGAGAAAAGAGGTCACCAGGGTTGATGGGACTCAACTGCAGGTCACACAGGGAGTAGTAATGAGAAGACCTGGGATTTGAATGTAGACCAGGACCTTCCCACTAGGATTGGGGCAACCAAATTACCGTCCTTTGCCTACCATCATCACTGCCTCTGCCTCCTGTGCTTAAGTTCCCATACTGGTTTTGGCTGAAGATTTTTTTTTTCTTTTTGATGGATCACTTCTGATAAAGCTAAATTCTCATCACTAAAATGTTCACCAAAGAAGGCAATTATAAAATAAATCCAGTGAAAGCAGAATGTGGTTAAATGCTAACTGGATAGCGTTGCCTGCCCATGGGTGTAAGCTTTCAATCAGCTTTCTTTGTTAAAAAGAGAAAATCTGCCAGGGACACAGGCCAAAGATGTGAAAGGTGTATTAGCACTTAGTTGATACTTTGATTTAGATGTAAATAGAAGGATTGAAGGAGAATTGAGGAGAAATAACATTCTCACCAGGTGGGTCTCACCTGGTGAGAACAGATCTTTTTCTAGCTCTGGGCCTCAGTTTCCCCTTTGTAATGTGAGACCTTTATCCTCAACAATCATCATCCTTTTGGGCTTTGATGCTCTGTGGCTCCATACCACAGCTTATGCTGAAATATTCACAGCTGGCAGGTGCCCAACTGTAGAGTCAACAACTGCAATCCCAATAAGAAGCCAACAATTATTGAGCACTAACTGTATACCAGGCATTGTGCTGAGCCCTTTGCTTTCATTATCCCACATGATTCTCACACCACCCTACATAGGTACTATCATTACCTCTCTGTCCTTTAAGGAAATAGGTCCAGAGAAGCAAGATCACTAACCCAAGGTCACAAAGTCAGGAAAAGTCAGAATTCAAACTCAGACCTACCTGCCTACAAAGTCCACACTCTGGAACCAGGCCGCCCAGTCACATTGTACCAGGTGCCCATTGGCTTGGTGCACAAACAGAGTCAGCCCATCCCCAGCAGAGAGAGGGAAGGCCCAGCTCTTGGCCTTGTCTCTGCTGTAGAAGATTGACTTGGCATCTGCCCTAGTTCTCTCTTTTCCCTTCCATCCTTCCCACCAGGCCTCTTATTAATCTCCATGGTTCCAACTGGCAAGAGTCTCATGAGAAGATGCAGATTTTGTGGTTATAGATTGCTATTCACAGCGAAAACCATCCCAGTACCCTCACCCCAGAAGAGTCCTGTCTATCACCAGAAATGGGCATAACTCGTTTCTAGGTTCTTCCATCAAGAACTCTACATTTACAACAGGCAGGGCCAGCCTCGACCCTGGAAATATCTATGAGGTTGAATTTTCTGACTTCCCCACATGGTCCTTTTCTCAAAAGTCTGGTGCCAAGGGAAGCAGGAGAGCATCAAGGGACTCAGGATTCTTAGATTCTAGGATTCCAGGAATTCCAGGAATTCCATTCCAATTTGCAAATGGCAAATTGCCATTTGCCAGCTGTGACTTTGGACCAAGCAGTTACCTCCCTGAACTCAATTTCTCCATCTGTAGGCTGGGAATAGTCATAATATTCTTATAAATAATTAAACAAAATGATTCAAATGAAGTACCTGGCACAGAGAAAGTCTTCACATAGTGTTCATAACTTTTTATGAATAATGGCATTCCAATGAGGTCATTAACATACTCACACTTCCAATAGTTCGTTAAAGAAGCCATGTCCCAGATAACCTTGTTCATCCAAAACAATCCAAAAATCAAAACCAGTGTCAGAACTAGAAGCAGATTCGTGTTCAGAAATTCCATTATTGATGCATTTTTCACTCTCTGAGCCTGTCATTTGATTCCCCAAGTCTCTTATGTTTTTTACAAGATGAAAACTTAACGAAAATTGATTAATGGGTATGTAAGAATCCACCAAGCGACATGGTTACAAGTCTCTTCAATGTGGGCATATAAACTCCTGTCTCGTAACCATTCTAGGCTCCTAGCTGTTCGCCATTCTAGGCTCTTTGTAAAGCTCCAAGCAGGTAAAGTGTACAACTGTGTTTAGGGAACAAAGCAATTAGGACCTGTTAACAGATATGCAAGATGTAACCCAATTTAAGGGTCATTCTAATCATCACATAGTATTTGCCATCTGAACCCTGACCACGTGAGTAGTCTTACCCTTTCATCCACCAAGTTGCTTATTTCACCATGAATTCCACCAGGAATACATTTTGTAGTAATGCACCCTCCAGAGACACATGACAAATGGCTGTGTGTCACCTGCCATGCGTAACACCTTACTTACACTCTATAAATGGACAGCAGTGGTGGCCATTTCTGCCAGAGGCTGGTCAATTGTGGGTTCTAGGGTGGAGAGCTTGACTGAGGATCAAATGCCCTTCTAAGTTACTGTTGGATTTTACCATTTGCAAAGCACATCCATACTGTCTAATTCTGGGGCCTCAAATACTGTCCAAATGTCTAGATGAGAAAACCAGCTGAGCAGTTGAGTGAACTTCCCAAAGTAGCACAGCTAGAAAGGGACAGAACCAGGATCCAAACCCAGCTTTGTAATTCCCCACACCCTAAGCGCCTTTCAAAAATATGTTCTTTCTTTCTTTTTTTTTTTTTTCCATTTTTGCATAGAAGAATTAGGGTGTAGGCCGGAGGTGCAGGGGGTGAGAGGATTCACCAAAAACAGAGTGGAGAGCAAAACTGGCGGCTCTACTGAAATACACCTCTGAGGGGAGCAGCGGGCGAGACAGGAGAGGTCTGCTGCACCATGTGCATCACCTCCCTGGCCGGGGATCGAACTCAGGCCGCAGTGGTGATAGAGCTGAGACTGAACCCATAGGCCACGGGGAGGCCACTGTGCTGTTTCTTTCAAATGAATTAAAGGGTGCTTCAGCTGTAGTAAATATAATAATGAGTAACATTGTGTACTTCTTCTAGGCTTCCTGCAGAGGTGGACCCTGTGACAGTATTTGCCTCGCTTTCCCCAGAGGGCCTGCTGATCATCGAAGCTCCCCAGGTCCCTCCTTATTCATCATATGGAGAGAGCGGTTTCAACAACGAGCTTCCCCAAGACAGCCAGGAAGTCACCTGCACCTGAGACCCCAGTCTTGGCCCATCCTTGTTCCCTCCCCAACCCCAGGGCTTCTCCAATTCCAGGATTCATTACTTTAGCTGAACTCTTAGATTTAGTGTGACTACAGTGTTGGGGGTGGGAGTGAACTGACCAGATTCCCTGGATAACGTAGGAGTAGGTTTTTCCACAGGATGGCGCAACTGGCAAGTCGTGCTCGGTTGCATTAAGCCAAGATGCTGGGAGTTTTTCTTTCCTTACCTTTCCTATCATGAAAATGTTGCACATGGATGCAAACAAACGCAAGGGGACATCACATTTCACATTGCATCTAACCTTGCAGCTAATGCAAGGGTTGCTTTCCTCTGGAGACCTCCCCCTCACCCAGAGTCCTTTTCTGGGCTCCTAATTTCCATGCTTACCCCATGGTTTGGTCAATGGAGCTCACACCATTGTGTTTCTGCAGTCCAGACCCACAAAGAGTTATATGCAGGTCTTACATCCCATGTGGCATCTCCCCAACGATCACACGAAAACAGACAGTGCCTTCTGTCCTCCACCCAGGCACCTCGTGCCAGTTCCCCAGCTGCACTCCTCAAGGACTCTGGAAGCCCCTCAGTTTATTCTCTGGCTCAAGTGCCCCCTTTCTTGCGTCTCCTATGTCCAAGTCAGGATTTTTACAGAGGGGGCTGTCTCCGGACAGCTCCGCCGGGAACCAAGTAAAGGCCAGACAACCTGGCAGGCAGGCTATGGTTTTGTGTTTTGGGTGGGACGTGTGTGTCATTATTATTTGACTTGTGCTGTTATTTAGGGGGAAATGACAGTAAATAATATTAATAAAGGAGCTGATGTTCTTAGCCTTGTGTGTTCTGTTGGTGAGGCATGAAATATGATGCCAGTCAGATTTGCAGTATCAATTAGGGGTGCTGTGGCTGCAGATAATAATGCCCAATGAATACTGGCTAAGAGACATGAACGTCTTCACCTGTGCTTTATAGGGGGGGTGGGGGCTTGGATGGAGTTGGGGACAACCCAGAGCAAAGTGAAGAGAGGCACACATGCTCCACCCGCAGGAAGTTGGAGTAAGTGGACCTCCTGAGACACCCCCACATGGAGGGTGTGACTCTGTTTTATTTAAATACCTCCAGAGGAAGTGACGTCACCAGATACCTGAACTGTCCTGGTAGAACACAGGTCTCAGGAAGGCAGAAGCTCTTCTTCTCCAGCGTATTCCTAATTCCTAACAGCGCCTGGTGCCGAGGCAGCATTCGTGCTGGCCAGAGCGGATGCATTGAACAAATGACATCCAGACTCCTTTCTGCTGCCCTCAAAGTCCCTGCCCCCCGTTATCCCTCACAGCTCCCTCTCCTGTCTGTCTGTCCCTCCAACCCCAGGGCCTTTGTACTGTAACAGGGTGGTCCCCAGGAAAGGGGGAGGTTCCCTGCCCCACCCAAGGGAGGGTGGAGCTGAGCAGGAAGAGGAGAAGCTGCAGAAGAGACTGAGGAAGGAGCAGGATGGAGCCAGGAGACCTGGAGGAGGCGCATGGAGCCTAGAAACACGTGAAGAAACTGCGCTTGTCTTTTGGTCGTGGACTGGGTGACACAGATGTGGGTGAGACCCGTGGGGAGGTGACAATGGCAGCTTTTATCTGGATGTTGATTTTGCTCTTTTCCTTCCGGGCTTGTCTGGTTGTTTGTGACCCTTTTCTGTGGGTCCCCACTGGAAGATGCTTTAGACTTGTGGCAGGATTTGGGGCCTTGTTCTGGGCCAGTCCCATATGGATGGACTTTTACCCACGAGGGGACGGGTAACTTTGGGTGCTTCATTTAGAAACTAGACTCTTTGCCTTGCCTGTGTTGTTTCCTAGTTTAATTAAAGTTCCTTCCCATTAAAGTCTCATATGTTTTGTGTTGATGCGGCGGATGACAGAACCCATTTAGAATAGGCAGGTTTGCGGGGTTTTGGGCTGCCCCTCTCCCTGTCCTATAACAGTACTTTTTTATTTTTGGTCACGCTCTTCCCCAGCTGTTTGCCTGGCTGCCTCTTTCTTCTTATGTTCTTATCCAGGTCTCCCCTGAAATGCCATCTGTCCAGAGAGGCCTCCCAGTAGCCCTCATCTGATTGCTGGGGAGAAAGGATGTCCTGAACAAACACCTCAAATAGGTTTTATGGACCCCACCCCCACCCCAGACCAAAGAGATCCAAGACACCAAGGACTACACATCCCATAATGTCATCACCACCGAAAGCAGAACTGCTGAGAACTGAGGGTGGAATTAAGCAGCCAGGCTTGGTCTATCACCAGACATGTGGGCCTTGAGGGTCCTGGGGTTTTGCCGGCTTTCAGCGTGCTATTGGGTTCCAGCTCAGCAGAACTTGGAGGACGCGTTCACCAATTTTTCTCTCTCTTTCTCCCTGAGCCAGTCCTTTCTTTATTTTCCTTTTCTTTTTTTTCTTTTGTAAAAAAAAAAAACCCTCATTTTTTTCTTTTTTTTCTTTTTTGTAAATAAACCCTCCTTTTCTCTTTTTTTTTTTTTTGGAAATAAACCCTTTATTAACCTTTTTGTGTGTGTGCCTGCAGAGTCTCAAAAGTCCCTTTTAAGTGCTCAGGTGAGGACCCACGGTCAGGCCAACCCATTTCACACTGGGGATGTCCTGCAACATGATCACTGGCTGTGAAACACCACACCATCGCACTGCCTCATTGCCTGCAGTGCACCTGTCAGAGTTGCGTTTGCTTGATTACAAACACATGCATATTAAAACCTAAGCTGCCCTCAACACACATTGCATATATAGATACACCCTAGAATGTCAAAGGAATCCCAAAGGCAAGCGATTCTCTTCTTTTTCTGTCTGGCCCACGACTGTGTCTTCCATGTTAAGTGCCATGGTTGGTGTATCAGGTAATTAATATGTATTGCATGAATGGATGAATGAGTGAGTGGTGTGCGTGGGTCGCCCTGGGAAGTTAGACCAAAGCATGATCTCAACCCCAGACACCTGGCTTGTTTCAGTCCTGACAGCTTCCAGCTTAAAGACATCAGCTTTGTATTCAAAACAGGTGACACGAGACCCTCCCTGTCCCGAGAGATGGACAACAAATAACAGAGGGACACTGTCCCTGGGGGCTCACTTAGGTGGTGATGCTGGGACAAAGGAGGCCCCAAAATCTGCTTCCCCCGCCTCACTCCCCGGTTCCCTGAAAGTTTTATGCACAGCCCATCTCCAACCCCACCCCCCCACACACACCCCAACTGCCTGCCAGCCGCCTGCCAGTGGTGATATATGGAGATGACTTGACTTGACCTTGAAGGGAAGAAGCAAATTAATGTGTCTCAAAATAAATTCCGGGAATCAGTGGCTGGCTTCTCCTCTACCCCCTCCTCCCGGTGCCTCACGAGTTGTGCATCATAATGTGAAAATCAATATTGTCTCTTGAATGAGCCAATACCTGCAGCTGGCAGGGGATGAGGCTACTGGGGGCGTCCCCCCACCCAGTGTCCTGGGCACGAAGCTGTCAGAAGGAGCGGGAGGCACCAGGCTGCAGTGGGCCCTGCCCCTGGCTGCTGAGGGCTGGCCCATCACCCTGTCTGCAGCCAGATCAACACATTCGTCCCCAAGCCCCAAGGCCTCCCGGGTGTGGGCTGTGGGATACCTGGTGGCTCCTGAGGGAAAGGGAAAGACTGATACGTGGAAGGAGACTGCCATGGCCATTCTCCAAGGGTATCTGCGATATGGGGAGGGGGTGACTGTCTAAGCCCAGTCCCCCAACTTGGCAATTAAATGTGTATGTTCTAGCGCCTGGGCTCAGCACCAATTCAACTGTGTGCCCAAGCGCATGGTGTCAGGTATTCAAATTTTGAAATATAAGTAGCACCGTCTGAGCCCCTAAGATGCCCCTGTGCCCTAGCTTGTATTAAGCATGTCTTTTTATTGGATACCTTGACCAATGAGAGCATTGCTGACCCTGGAGGAACTGTCCGGCCCAGGGATAGCTGCTGCTCAAAGGCAGCAAAGGACGCATATGAAACACAACCAATCCAGAGCCGGACCCCAACCACACCCTTAATCCTACTTACTCTCTGAGCCTCTAGCCTGCTAGTCTCCCAGGTCAGGTGCCAGACGGTGAGTGACAGCTCCTGTGCCCCACCGCCTGCTGAAATTTTTCCAGCAGCTCATCCTAAGCCTGCATCCCCCGCCTCGCCTCACCTGTTCCTTCCTGCAGAAACCACCAGAAACTCTCTCACCCATGCTTCCTGCCTCGCCCTGCTCCCTCTGCCTCCTGACCCACCCTGCTGCTTCTCTGTGTGCTCCTGTGTTGTGGCGAGCCCCTCTCCTTGGATCTGCAAGTCTAACAAGCTGTCTTTTCGATGGCAATTATCTCCTGATCTTTTGCCTTTGACATAATTAAATAATCATAAAATCTACATTTTAAGACACAGACACTTTCCTCCTCCCACCGCCAGCCCCACCAGCACCCCCTCTAGGAAGCAGCAGCTGCCTTTGGTCAGTGGCCATTCTGAAAAGTCAGTCCTGGTCCTCCCAGCTGGTAGATCTGGAATATAACCCCCCTTTCCTACTGCATATCAGATGCAGTGCCGGGACCCGAGGAAGGAGACCGAGGTGGGTCTCTGCCCTGTGGGTATATTTGGGGATACAGGGAATAAGCTAATAAGCAAAGAAATAGTCCTGGGCAGGACTCAGTACAGGCTCTGCGACCAGGAGGCCATTAGGGAGGCCCCTGCAAGGCCATTAGGGATATGAGGTGTGGTCCCAGCTCTGCTGCTGGCCAGTGGGGTGTGACTTTGCCACTTGACCTCTATGAACACGAGGCAGGGCTGAGGGGATGATGAAACGTGTGCATGCCAAGGGACCATGGGGCTAATGCAGCTAAGTCCACAGTTAATATGGAGCTGTTGGTGGAAATGCAAATAAAACCAACAGAAACTGGAACCACATAGGTTCCAGGGTCTTCCAAAAGTCTCCCAGGATAGGTTACAGAGCCAGGGACCCCTGGACTCTGTACCTGGAGCTGACATTCTCCAGGCCCCTGCCCCCCATTCTTAGTGTCTCTTATTGGAAGGATAGCTGGAATCAGGGGAATCTGAGGGATGTGAGTCTCCACTGTCAGAGGTCTCGAGTTAACCGTGACACCGCATGTCCAAAATCTTAGCTGCCAACCCCCAGTCCATGTCCCAGAATGAACCCGTTATTGCAAATCAGGAGAAATGTGCAAATATCACTTTGGATCTAAATTGCTTATTTTCTATGCATGAGGAAGATGCCTCTGGTCCCTTAGCAGCCAGCATAGTTCTGGAGCACAGCAAGTCTTCAGAACACCAGCTATTGTCGTAAGTTATCCTGCAGAACCATGGAGAGTGTTCATTTTTAAAAAGAACACCATGGAAGGAAGAGGGCCACGGTACAGGCTGTGGGACACTGCAACTTTTTTCTTCCTGGAAGATTTAGAGACTGAGGAAAGACACAACCAGCTTTCTTTCATAGCCATGTTGGTTGGATGCCCTCACGTCTCTCAGCCAGGTCCCAGGGCAGGTATCAGTGCCCTCCCCTGGCTGGCACCCACACACCCAGCCTCCAGCACCCTGTGCTGGGGAAGGTAAATGTGGGGAAATACTCCTGCTACCGAAATACTTGCTGAGATTCTCATGTTATTGATGAGAGCCTAGCCTGCTTGTCTCTTAAAAGCTCTCCAAAGAATTCTCTAATTCTCAGCCACAGTTAGGAGCCACTGGAATATTAAGCCCTGGAATGGGGGCTACGCAGGAGGAGCCCAGAAGAGGTTTGGACTCAGGCCCAGTGGGGCAGGAATATTAACCAGAGACTTCTCGAAAGAAATGATGTGAAGGTTGAACCCCAAAGGATAAGTTTTAATATTATATGTTTATTAGCTGCAAGGCTCTGTCTACACCATTTACATCTATGTACCATTTAATCTAACCAATTTGCAATGACCC